TAATGCTTAGCTGTGTGTGGCTGCTATGGAGCCTTCAGTCTCTTTATCGGGTGTGGGGAGCCCCAGCACAGTTGGTTGCAAGGTCTAATAGCACATTCCTGTTGCAGTTTTTCTGTTAAGTCAGTAGGCCCCCAGCATGGCTGGTTGTTAGCCTCAGGGGCTTACAATTGCTGTTGGCCTCTAGCCTACAAGGCTCTTGTCAGCTCTCTGAGGATTGCAGCTGGGTGGGGCTGGCTCTGGACAAGGGACCACCCAATTGTTTCAGGTTTTGGAAGGTGGGGCTGATCCCTTATGTGGCTGTTTGAGAAGCACAAGCCTTCTGCAGCTGACAATCCCCCACCTTCAACAGGGCCACACACACCATCAACAGAGTCCTGCCCCGTGCATGTGCCCTGACCCCCTGAAGCAGACCCAGCCACCCCATGGCAGAGGCCCCACACAGTCAACCAATGCCCCACACACTTCACCCACTCCTCACGCACACCCTGCCCCACAGAGGTGGACCCACTCACCTGGCTGCAGAGGATCCAGGCACCCAGCCTACTGGGGCCAACAAGTTGCCCAAGGGCCTGCTGTTGGGTGGAGCCTGCCCTGGCTGAGCTGGATTAAATCAGTGCTCTAGTGGGTGTGGCAGACCCTGAGGTGAGAGGCCAGGGGAAGGACTCCAGTGGCATCTGCCAGCATCTGTGTTAGCAGGCCTGCACCAGATCACAACATTGGCTGTCACCAATGTCTCAGTCCCTGGAGAGGTCTCCCCTCTCACTGAAATGTAACCAGAGCCTATCAGGTGAGTCTCTTTTCACCAAAGGGCTGTGCACCTTTCTTTCTGGTGAATTTAGGTTGCTTTCTGAAATGGGTGAATTTGTGTGTGAGCCCTTTAAGAGCTGGGGGTTTTTTTCCCCTTATGTCCAAGAGCTTTTCTGGGAGTATTTCCCGTTGTTATTAGTAGCCAGCAAGGCCAGATATGATGACACTCATTTCAGTTGTGCTGGGTCCAAAAAATGCTTGTAGCAGCAATGCTTTCTTGCTCAGGTGCCCCACTCCTCCAGGGAAGGCTGCATACATTTGGGTTGCTCCTGGGCAGCCATGAAGTGTTGTGGCTTGTGAAGGTGGCTTTTTTTCTCTCCAGAAGGGAATTTATGCCTCTTCCACCTCAGTCGGGACTGTGGCTTCTTGCAGGGGTTCCTCTTATCCGGTTTGCAGTTCTCTCTCAGGGGTAATTGTTCCAAGAGTAGTTGTAGATCTGTCGTGTCCGTGGGAGGAGGTGAGTTCAGAGTCCACCTATCTTGACACCAACCCCCTGCCCTTGCACTTCTGTTCTCCTTTGCTCACCCTCTTACGTCAAGTAGTGCATCCTGGGGACACAATTGTTCAAGTGCATAGAATTAACTCCAACATCAAGAATCTCAAGGTACAGATTCAGTGTTCTAGAAGTAAATCAGAGAATTTAGCTTCATACAAGCTTGAAAAATGAAACTTTCCAGGTTTAATTAATTAAGCACAGACTCTGAAATCAGACAGACCTGGCTTCCAATCACAACTGTATCATTTTTTCCCTGAATGAACCTGAGCAAGTTACCTCTTAATTTCTTCATCTTTGAATTGGGAAATAATATCATCTATCTCTCAGGGTTATCATAAGGAATAAATCAGCTACAACACAGCCTAGTACATGACACATGGTACACATTCAGTAAATGGTAGCTGTTATTATTTTATTATTGGTCATAGGGATAGCAGATAGGTTTATATTTGCTGGCCAAATGAGATTTATTGTTAGTGACTTTTTTGAGAGGGAGTATAAAGTTGTGTTTTGGCTCTGTGGGAAAGAGCACTGTGCGCCATTCCTAATGTCTATGTGAAGGTTAATTTTTCGTACCAATTTGACCTGGCTAAGGCATGCCCAGATAGGTGGCAAAATACTACTTCTGGGTTTGTTTGTAAGAGTATTTCTGGAAGAGATTAGCATTTGGATCAGTAAACTGAGTAAAGAAGATAGTCTTCACCAATGCAGGCGGACATCCTACAATCCATCAAGAGCCTGGTAGAACAAAAAGGTGGAGGAATGGTGAATTTTGCTCTCTGCTTAAGCCGGAACATCCATTTTCTCCTGCCCTCGGACATGGGTACTCCTGGTTCTTAGGCCTTCAGACTCAGACTGGGACTTACACCATCGGCTCCCTTGGTTCTCAGGTCCTTCGGTTTGGACTAGAACTACACCACCAGCCTCCAGATTGCAGGCAGCAGATCATGGGACTTCTCAGCTTCCATAATTGCATGAGTCATTCTCTCATAATAAATCTCTTTCTATGTATCTTTATCTGTTCTCTTTCTCTAAAGAACCCTGACTCTTACAGTCTGTTAAGAGTATAGAAGGGCATAGTACCATATTTGCCTCTTTCATTGCTGGTATCAGGCACAACATGGTTCCCAAGTCTGTAATCCCTCCTCCCCACAGCTGAGGCCACTTGATCCTCTTTTAAAAGCTAATTGTATTCTCAATCTGGATCTGAAACATCAAGTACTTAAGCAGCTCCCATCAACCTTTCTAAGACCCAGCACAGAGTCATCCCAACTAGTCATAACATGATATGCTAATTTTAACAACTGACAACTGCCTCTTTAATTTAATTTAACTTATTTTTTTATTTTTTGCTGTTTTTAGTAAGTCTCAGTCCCAACTGTTAAACTCAGGTATGGTAACTAGGTTTCTTGCATTCCAGTCCCTTCCTAAAAGAGGTACCCTGACTCACATTTGCCATACTCTTTCCAAAACTAGCATTCCCTAAGCCTTGGAATCTAACTTTTAGGATAAAGCCCCTTTTAACCATAGAAAACTTCTCAGTTGTTGAGTATGGGCTTCTTATTTTTGCCCACTCTGTATTCTCTATCAATTTTCTATCCAGCTACACGTGGGGACATCTTGCTCCACCAGCCCTTTACTGAATACTTCCAAGTCAAAAATATACACATAAGTGTGCATGAAAATATTTACAGAAGTCTCAGTATGAAACGTAAATACCAGGAAGTAACGAAGATCTAAAGTTCAAAGAAAGATAGAATGTGGTTTTCTCTTGAATTCAGTATGGAAATTTTTATTTTTTTAATTTCATGGGTTGACAGAAATCAAAGGCATTCATCAGAAAATATCTTTATTCCCTCAATTAGACAAATATTTATTAATTGCTATATGCCAACACTATGCCAGGTAATGGGAGGGTAGTGGGCACAAAGGCTGAGCCACATATTTCTCTTCCATCAAAATACTCCTCCTATGGAGTGCTGCTCCCTAGGGTTTGGGAGTAAAAGGCCCTGAACAGAATCTTGATACCTTCTCTGTTTCAGCTACCTACCAGAGTTCCCATTTCTGGTTGGAGCAGTGCCTCTGTTCCTCAGACCATGTGCAGGAGCTAGCTGGCCAACATCAACCAGTGTGATGACCTGATCAAGCTTGTCCCCAGCTTGGGTTAGTAGCTTCTTGCATTTCCCCAGATGTTTACTAATGATATTCCCTCCCACCCACATGTAAGTAGTCTCCAGAGTCCTATCATTACAGGCTTATAATAACCCAGTATCTGACACAGCCTACTAAAATAACAGACATAATTTTCACTAAGGAAAGAAGAGGGACTTATCCTTTCAGCTGTGATCCAGAATACCAAATAAGTAAATTTGTAGTATAGAAATGTCATTAAATATTAATTTAAATAAAATCCAGGGAGCCCAAAAATATGACAGTTATCCAAGAGTCCCAAGTCAAAGGGAAAGGCAGGAAAATCTGCAGATGACTTGAGTGTCTACCAAGAAAACCCAGAGAACTGGAGGACAAACTAAGACTTACACTGTGGCCAGAGACAAGATCAACATACAAAGATAAGTAGCATTCCTCTTAGCCAGCAATAACTGAGAAAGATCCCATTCTCAATAGCAATAAAATTATAAAATATCTAGGGATAAACTTAATAATATATGTGCAAATCCTGTGTGAATAAAATATTAAATCTTTACTGCTGGTCTTAAAAAAATAACCAAATAAAGGAAGAGAAATAGTATTGTAAAAATGTCAGTTCACTTCTAATTTAAATCCAGTCCCAATCAAAATCAATCAGTAACAAATATTTATCGAACATTTAATTATGTCAGTTATTATTTTAAGCATTGGAGGTATGGTGGTGTATGCGAGTCCTTGCTTTCAAGTTGACGTTCTAATGCCAGGGGGAGGGGGCAGATAAATATATAAACAAATAAACAACATGTAGAGCTTCTTTTCCTCATTCTGGGACCCAGGCCAATGGAGCAGCCACCACCATGAACATTGCTGGTCACTGTGGGTAGGGGAACGAGAGCTCTGAAGGATCTTAGTCAACTAAATACTCTAGGCCAGAAGGGTACCTACCACTTCCACTCACAACTCATTGGCCAGAACCAGTTGCGTGATCCCATATAACCACAAGGAGGCAGGAAGTGCAGTTCCACTGTGGGCCAGAAAGGGTGCAAACCAGGTCTATTTGGCAAATAGTACAAATAACTACCTCACCCCATCGATAGTCTGATAATTTTATCATTCTGCTTTTTAGGTTTAGTTTTTTGTTTTGTTTTGTTTTGTTTTTTGGTGAGGGAGATTAGCCCTGAGCTAACATCTATTGCCAACGCTCCTCTTTTTGCTGAGGAAGATTGGCCCTGGGCTAGCATCCACGCCCATTTCCTCTACTGTACATGTGGGACACCTGCCATAGCATGGCTTGATAAGCAGTGTGTAGGTCCACGCCTGGGGTCCACACCTGTGAACCCCGGGCTGCCAAAGCAGAGTGTGCAAACTTAACCACTACCCCACTGGGCTGGCCCCTAGGTTTAGATTTTTAATCTCTCTGAAATTTCTTTATCAACAGTATATCTGCTTTCCAAATGTACCGTAAATTTTTACAATACTATTGATTTAAAAGTCCCCTATTTGTTAAGAATTGTTTGGTTTCAAGAAATAGACACCAAAAAAACCCCAGTGGGCTAAACAAATTAGAGGTTTTATTTTGCTCACACATGAAGAATCTAGAGGGAGGCAGTCCAGAGATGGTGCATCTGATGCCATCAGACACCCAGCCTTTTCCTGGCCTCTTCTACCTGCAAAGGAGGGTGGGTTATATAGGGTTTTTTTTTTTTAATACTGACATATTGCCATTACCAGCAAATATATTTGTGTGTGTGATCAGACTCAAGGGACCATTTGGAGGCAGCAGTCCCAGAACTTGCTAATGGGTTAGATGTGGGTGTGAGAGAGAAAGCCCAAGATAACTCCTCAGTTCTTTGATGAAACAACTGAGAGGACGGTGAGGCCATTTATTGAAAAGAGGGAGAAGCGGGCTTTAAGGAGAAAAACCATAGTTAAAATGGGAGCTCTTTAATAAAACTTGACAAGCCGATTGAAATTTGACATGGAAGAGAGAGTGGGCAAAAAGAGCCAAAACAATCATGAATAATAGGCAATAAAAAAATGGAGCAGAGTAGGAAGTGCAGGAACAAATGTGTACACACACACACACAGGATGTGGAGCTTGCAGTCAGCTCAGAATGAACAGGTAGCATGAGCACGGAAATAAACAGGTCTCATTATAAACTGCCAAGATTCTAAGTTTCTTTGTTACTGTTGCACAGCCTAGCTTATTCTGATTGATACAAGATGACAGGGTAAATAAAGAGTGTCCCCAAACCATGTAATACTGTGAAACACAAAAAAATGAGATAGATGTCCATTTACTTATAGGGAAAGCTTGCTAAGAGGTATTGTTAAGGGAAGAAAGCAAATTCTAAAATAGTACAGGAGCCGGCCCTATGGCATAGTGGTTAAGTTTGCACACACTGCTTCGGCAGACCAGGGTTCACAGGTTCAGATCCTAGGTGCGGACCTACACCCTACACACTGCTCATCCAGCCATGCTGTGGTGGCATCCCACACACAAAATAGAGGAAGATTGGCACAGATGTTAGCTCAGGGACAATTTTCCTCACCAAAAAAGAAAGAAAAACACATGAATGCAAATCTTTGGACTGGCCAGGTGGCGTAGTGGTTAAATTCACGCACTCTGCTTCAGCAGCCTGGGGTTCACAGGTTCGGATCCCAGGTGAGGACTGATGCACCACTTGTCAAGCCATGCTGTGGCGTCATCCCATATAAAGTAGAGGAAGATGAGTACAGATGTTAGCCCAGGGCCAATCTTCCTCAGCAAAAGGAGGAGGATTGGCAGCGGATGTTAGCTCAGGGCTAATCTTCCTCACAAAAAAAATAATAAAATAGTACAGTTGGTATAATATCACTTATGTTAACCCTCATCACACAAAACAGCAAACTATATATTTCTACAGATACATGTATGTTAATGCATAGAAGAAAATCTAGAGGGGCCAGCCCCATGGTGTAGTGGTTAAGTGCACATGCTCTGCTGCTGGCAGCCTGGGTTCGGAACCCTGGGCACGCACTGATGCACTGCTTGTCAGGCTATGCTGTGGCGGCGTCCCATGGAGGAAGATGGGCACAGATGTTAGCGCAGGGCCACTCTTCTTCAGCAAAAAGAGGAGGATTGGCATGGATGTTAGCTCAGGGCTGATCCTCCTCACCACAAAAAAAAAAAAAAAACTAGAAAGATACACATAAAACTCCTCTTTTGGAGGAGAATTGGTTAAAAGGAGATTTTTCTTTATCTGTACGCTTTGAATTTTTTATTTTTATTTTTTATAATTTTATTTATTTATTTATTTTTCCCCCCAAAGCCCCAGTAGATAGTTGTGTGTCATAGCTGCACATCCTTCTAGTTGCTGTATGTGGGACGCAGCCTCAGCATGGCCAGAGAAGCGGTGCTCGGTGCGTGCCCGGGATCTGAATGCAGGCGGCCAGTAGCGGAGCGCGCGCACTTAACCGCTAAGCCACGGGGCCGGCCCTGAATTTTTTAACTTTAAAAAAATATGAAAATCACAATGTGAAAGAAATTATATAATGTATAGGTATATTTTTAAGGAGAATTAAAAATTTAAATGATCACCAGTGTCTCTCCCACCAACCTAAGTAAATAAAACATCACCAATACCACTGAGGACCTCTGTGGGCCCATGAATGATGGTATCCTCTCTTCCCTAGAGAAATAACCACTAACATGAAGCTGGTGTTACTCATTCCTTGCTTTTGGTTTTAGGTTTTTTCTATAGAAAAAAAAATATATATATATACAAAAGATATTATATAATATATAATAAGTAATACTTACATGTAATATATTACTTATATTATTTCCTAAGTAATATATTACTAACATATATATAATATATTATGTAATACATTATTTACTTTATTTTCTACTTCATTTGTTTCTTCTTTTGTCTTTATTGTTTCCCACATTCTACTTTCTCTGCTTTGTCTCCTGTTGCTTTTGTTGTGGTTTGTTTATAATATCTTAAGGTGAATTCTCATTTATTCTCAGTCTCATTTATTATCTGTTTTTTTCTTTTCCATATAAGCATTTTAAGTTTATACAATTACCCAAAGTATCACTTTAACTTCATGCCACACATTTTTTTACTTAGTGCTTTTATCAGTTATTTTTAAGTATTCTAATTTCCATTATAATTTTTTATTTGATCCATCAGTTATTTAGAAGTTTTCTTCTAAATTTGCAAATGTATAGAAGTTTTAAGTTATTATTGTATTACTTATTTCTAACTTAATTACATTGTGGTCAAGAAATACTGATTCTTGGACATTTATTGAGATGCTTTATGTCCTAGAATGTGGTCAATTTTTGTAAATGTTCCACATGTTTGAAAAGAATGTGTATTCTATAATATTTAATTCAATATTCTGTATCTGTCCATTAGGCCAAGTTCCATAACTGTTTATTCAGATCTTGTCTGCTTGATCTATTGATCAAAGAGGGAGGAATGTAAAAATCTTGCCAATCTAATCGTGATATGATAACCTCTTCTTGTACTTTTGACAACTTTTGCATCCTATATGTTGAAACTATTTTATTAAGTGCTGACAAGTTTAGAATTGTTCTCTCTCTCTGGTAGATTGAATTTTTTTTTAGTATGCAGTGACCCATGTGATCGCTAGTAATATTGTTTCTGGAAGTTGAGCTGTCTGTTTCTAATACAGCTCCTTCACTCTTCTTTGGGTTAGGGTTTGCTTGGCTTACCTTTCAGACTTTCCGTGTCCTTAGGTGAGGCGTGTCTCCGTGTCCTTAGGTGAGGCGTGTCTCTTGTTAATAGTATAGAGTTGAACTTTTTTTTTTTAATTTCATTTAACAATCTTTGGGTATATCCAGAGAATATAGTTTCTTAACATTGGTTGCAATTTATAATATATTTTATCATTTTATTTTATAGTTTCTGTTTACCCTACTTTTCAATGTTTTCACTCTTTGTTTTGATTGATTATAATTTTTCCTTTCCTTACCCCATTTCACATCTACTGGTTTGGAAATTATAGAACCTAATTCTTCTTGTTAATGGTTACTGGGGTAGGCAGAATTCTGAGATAGCACCCAAAATTCCCACTTTGTGCTTTCTAATCTGATTTCCATGCGTGTGGATAGGACTGTGAACATGACAGATATTACTCTCTTAATTAAATTTTATGACAAAGGAGAGAGATTTTGACGATCTAATTAAGATTCCACATTAGTTGACTTTGAGTTAATCAAAAGGGAGATTATCCTGGATGAGTCTGACCTAATCAGGAGAACCCTTAAAAGGGCTTGGGCCCTCCCTGAAAAGGAAAATTCAAAGCAGCAGATTTGTCCTGCTGGCATGGAAGAAAGCAGAGAGTCATGGTGTGAATTGCCTATGGAGAGGGGCAGCCTCTAGTAGCTGAGCCCTCAGGCCTACAACCACAAGAAAACTGAACTAGCTTAGAAGAGGACCCTGGGCTCCAGAGGAGAATCCCAACCTGGACAACACCTCAACTGCAGCCTTGTAAGATCCTAAGCAGAAGATTCAGCTCTGCCACGCCTGGACTCCCGACCCACGGAAACTGGGAAATAGAGATGTGTATTGTTTTAAGCTACTAAATTTGTGGGAATTTGCTATATAGCAATAGAAAATGAATACAGTTACCTTAGAAATTTTAACATTCATATTTAACTTAATGTCTGGAGATAATATCTTTACCCACATTTAATAAAATAAAAGGACCTTAGAATGTTTTAACTCCCTTTTACCACTCTTCCATTATACATGTTATTGTTGTCTAGGTGGATCTAGCTTGATTTATTTAACCCTCAAAATAAACATTATCATCATTAGTTTATCCAGTAAATGCTTACTTAGATTTATCCACATTTACCATGTTCTTTGCTCACACACCTTCTTACACTCAGACTTTCTCCTGTGTTTATTATCACTCATCCTGAAGTATATTCTCTAGAAGATCTTAAAATAAGGGTTTGCTGTAATAAAACTCTCATTTTTCTTTAGTCAGGAAATAAAGCTATTTTAACCTCATGTTTGAAAGATTATTTTGCTGGATATAAGGGTGTAGTTTGACATTTATCTTCTCTCAGTAGATTAACTGTACCATTCCACCGTCTTGTGGCTTCCTCTATTGCTGTGGGAAAATCTCATCAGTTTAAATATAATTCCTTTATAGATACACTGTCTTTTTCTCTAAATGCTTCTAATATAGTCTCCTTGCTTTTGTTATTCTAAAATTTCACTATGAGTTTAGGTGTAGAATTCTTTTTATTTGTTCTGTTTGCAATTCTTTCTGTCTTCTGAATCTGTGTATTGGTGTTGCTCATCACCAGGTGAAAACAAAAAATTCTCAGAATCCAAGAAATTTTCAGCCATCTTCTCTTTGAATAGTATTATTTCTCCCTTCATCTTTGTTATCTTCTCCTGGAACTCCAGTTAAATACATATTGGAGTTTCTCCCTCTGTTTCCTCCATGTTTCTTAAGGTTTCTTTTATAGTGGCATTCTTTTTGTCTTCTTTTTCTGAATTTGTTGTAATTTTCTTCTATCATGAATGGTCTCTTCAACTGTGCTTAATCTACTCTTTAAGCCTCTCATTGAATTTCTAATTTCAATTATTACATTTTTAATATGTAGAAATTCTATTGGTTCTTTTTCAAATCTGTGTGGTCAGTTCTGATGGTTTATAGTTTGGCATTCTTCCAATAATCTTTTTAAATTTTTCTTTAAATATATTAAACATACTTATATTTTATTCCATACCTGATTACTCCATTATCTGAAGACTTTAATGCCTGACTCTACAGTGTGCTAGTTCTGCTATTTCCTCATGTATCTGAAGTCACAGTCCTTGAAAATGTATATGTGGATTTGAATTTAACAAATGTCCTTTGGAAGAGGATTCAGATTTATTTCCTCTAGGTGTTAGGGATGCTACCAACTATATTTTTGGCTTGGGGCTTTTTTTGGGATGTACAGTAGTATGAATTCTAGTTCTAAACATATGTGGAAGTAGGCTTATGATTAAGAATTCTCAGGCCTTTTTCTTCTTTGTTCAGCTCTGCCCAGAGCCCAGGTAAGACTGGCAAATATCACCACTAATGTGCTCTGCTGGGTGGGATTTTTCTAGTTCAGCTACTGAGTCATTCTTGAAGGTACCCTATTCTAGCTCCCATCCTGTTTAGGGCCCAGGCTTTATCTTCAGCCCTGGTACAATGGGCCCATTAACACTCGGGCTGGTGGCCACTAGGGATCACATAAATACTCAGGACTTTGCCTAACCCTGCAGGTTTTTGCTTTCTTTTCCCCCTGGCCTCTGAAAAATTCCCTTAATTTCTCACTTGCTCAGCCTCAGACAAACATACAAAAAAAGTTTATTGGATTTTTCGTTTGTCTGTTTAATATTTTATACTGCATTTTTATGTGTACTATACTAAAAAGGGTTTTACTTACAGCCTAGTTTATCATATTACTAGAAATTGTTTGAATTTTTAATGAAAATGAACTCATATTTTAGAATTTTAGTTTAAAATACATCTAAAATAGAAGAAAATATTGAAGAATGTGTTAATAACCTTGGCTATAGATGGCCTTCTTAAACTAAAATTGCAAAAATTGTAAAGCCTATGAAGAATTAATATTGATTAATATATTTAATTGCGTAAGCATTTAAAATTTTTGTATGAAAACACCTTAAGCAAAATCAAAAGACCAAAATCAGCTAGAATATTAACAATACATAATGAAAGATTCATATAACATAATATATAATGAGCTCATACAAGTCAATAAAGATACACAGAACCAATTAGAAAATGAGCAACAAATATTAACAGACAATTCATAGAAGAGGATATACAGATGGCCAAAAATTATGTAAAATTATACTGAATGTCACTGGTCATCAGAGAAATGCATATTAAAATAGTAAGATACCATTTTTCACCTATCAGATGATAACTTATAAGACTGCAAGTTGATACAGGCTTTTTGGAGGGTACTTTGGCAATATACCTACTAAATTTTTAAATATATCATTGCGGGGAATTTTGAGCCAATGGTTAAAGGATATACCCATTCTCCTGCCAAATCTTCAGTAATTAATAGTTTCTTTATATAAATCAGGGAGTGAAAAAGTTCTGAACTCCAAGAGAAAGATATCAGAAAAGTTTTTTAGGAAAGTCACTTTATTTCCTTCTCAAGATAACATTAAATGTTCATATAGTACCCATTGTCGTTTCTCACCCTCAGATGGTAAGGCTTTCCTCATTAACTGTTCAAACGGTGTCCATGGAGCAGATACAAGTCTTGAGGTCCATCACCTTGGCTATGACCTGATGACTGATTCTCTTGATATGACCCACCTCCCCCTTTTTGAACAAGATGATAGACAGTAATGACATCTAATAACATTTCCTTTCTCATTTGGATTACAGAAGGCAGCTTCCTCTCTTCGTTGACAGAGGTATTACAAAGTAGCAGGCATGCTTAAGACATAATGCAAATGCCTGGAAAGGGCTAGGAATGGTACTTTTCCACACTGCTCTGCCGTGGAGGAAGACTGCCACAGGATGTCAAAGGGATGTCAAAGGACATCATATGGTCTACCTATGGTCATATAACTTACAAAATGTATCCCCTTGGACTGGAACAATCTAAGTCTTGCTGTGCCACTCTGCCCTAGTACATTTTAGCAAGTCCATTTGGTTTACAAGTAAGGAAACATTGTATGGCAAATGGCCAAGAAAGACTCTTCCTCAGGATTGTCCCCAGCACCTATATGTACCCTTTAACCCAGTAAGTCATCCTCTAAGAAGCTATCATGAAAAATATTTGCACGTGTCCAAATAAGCACGTATACAAACGGATGTTCATTGCTTCATTGTTTATAACAGTAAAAAATTGCAAACAGGGCCGGCCCCGTGGCTTAGCGGTTAAGTGCTCAGGCTCCACTGCTGGCGGCCCGGGTTCGGATCCCGGGCGCGCACCGACGCACCGCTTCTCCGGCCATGCTGAGGCCGTGTCCCACATACAGCAACTAGAAGGATGTGCAGCTACGACATACAACTGTCTACTGGGGCTTTGGGGGGAAAAATAAATAAAATCTTTAAAAAAAAAATTGCAAACAACCTATATGATCATCAATAGAGAAGAGGTTAAATATATTTTAAATGTATTTGGTTCCTCTGTACTATAGAATACTTTGCAGCAGCTAAAAGAAGAACAAGGGAGATGTATGCCTAGTGACATAAAAGGACATCAAATTATTAAGTGGGAAAAAAAAGCAAGTTGCAGAATAGCACACATATTCTGCAAAAAATCATTTAGGCTTAATATATAAATACCTATTAGTATTAATATATTAACATACTCACATATATATCTATTTTAGTAGATATATAATGTATACATAAAACTGCATGGGAAAGGGTTTAGAAGGCTATTCCCACACCACTATGCAATGGAGGAGATTACCATGGAGTGGTAATTGGCATTTAAAATTTCTTTGTATTATCTTATTATGTTACACTGAGAATATCTTCATGTAGTACTTGAGGAATTAAACAATTTTTTTAAAGAATTTGTTTTTATGAAAAAGAGGAGAAGTTGGTTATGATAAAAGGAGCTGTAGGAAGACGCTTGACCTGTATCCAGGCCAGCAGAGATAAGAGGTAAGAGAAAATCTGAATGAGGATCTGAGGGCAGAACTTATTGGATTCATACATTCATTGTTTCATTCCAAAAACTTTTATTATGCATCTACTATATGCTATGCATTGGGTAAAGGAATATTCAGAGATACTTTCATGCTCTCTGGAGGTTAACAAAGAAGTAAGTAGACATTCACAATGCAGTGAGATAAGCAATAAGACCCAGTTACGCCTGGTGAATCAGAAATGCACAAAGGATGGAAGAAGCCAGCCACGCCCATCTAAGTGCAAGATTTGGCTTTCTGGCCTTCCACTGTCCTCCAGTGACCACCAGGTATACTGGCTTGGCTGGAGGCCAAGACTGACTCCATGCGTGTCATAAGTGTTGTATCAGGAATTATAGGACTTCTAGCCAAGTCGGATCTGTGCTGGGGATGGGCAACAAGGTCTCCTCCACAGCTCACACAGTTTTCTCAACTATCATGATACGGACAGCAGGATTTTAGGACCTTTAACCACTTCTCATGCAGTTTCTCTGATACTTTCAATTCCTTTAACAGAGAATAATATCTTTCATTAAAGATCTGAAACTTTTAATGCAAATGCTAACTGAAAGCTGTTCACACTAAAATATACATAATCAATCTGTAGGCAATAAATACAGAACAAATTAATGAATGACCAAATAAATGAAATCGAATCCTCCCAAGTTTTGATAGAATGGGGAAAGGGAAAAAGTCACTGCTATTGCAGATTGATAGTTTGATAGTAACCAATGTATTTTTCATTTTCCATATTTCCCCCTGACTCTGTGACCTGTCTCTCAACTTCAGGCAGCAGAGGGTAACCGCTTCTATGGCCTTGAGGAAAGAAGGTCACAAACAGCACAGAACAACAAGTCCATTTTCACTCAACTTTTTTGAGTTTTACTCAACTCAACTTCCTGGCACAGACAATAGACTAAGAGAAAGGGTTTTGAGGATCAAAAGCTAAAATTAATACCATAAACATTTGATTTCAGAAGGATACATGATATCAGAATGAGTTTTCCTTCCTTAGTCTGCTAGGGCTGCCATAGCAAACTCCCACACACGGGGAGGGGCTTAAACAACAGACATTTATCTTCTCAGTTCTGGAGGCTGGAATTCCAAGATCAAGGTGCCAGCAGAGTTGGTTTCTGGTGAGGGCTCTTTCTGCCTTGCAGGCTGATGCCTTCCCACTGTGTCCTCACAGGGCCTTTCTTCTGTGAGTGCCTTCTTGGTGTCTCTCCCTCTTCTTGTATGGACACCAATCCTATTGGATTAGGGACCCACCCTTATGAGCTCATTAAACACTAGTTACCTCCTGAAAGGTCCTATCTCCAAATACAGTCACATTGGGAGTTAGGGCTTCAACATATGAATTTGGGTGGGGGGGGACGACACACAATTCAGTCCATAACACTTCCTTAGACTTGTTAGCTGAACTCTGTCCAAAAGAAATACAATGCAATTTAAAATTTTCTAGCAGCCACGTTTTTTAAAAAGTAAAAAGAAACGAGCAGAATTAAGTGTAACGCTATATTTTATTTAATTCAACATATCCAAAATATTATCATTTCAATGTGTAAACTATATTAAAATTATTGAGATATTTTACAATCTTTTCTTCATACTAAGTCTTTGAAATTGGTGTGCATTTTCACTTTCAGTACATCTCATATTGGACAAACCACATTTCAAGAGCTCAGTAGCCACATGTGACTGGTGGCTACTACTTTGGACAGTGTAGTGTGTGATAATTCTCCAAGCTGAAGAGAGAGGTCAAATAAGAGAGCAAGAGAGAGTGGCTCCAAGATACACCTGCGGCCCCAAGCAGGTGGTTGGGGAGGAGTCACAATGACTGATAGACTCACCAGGTAGTTTGGGAGATCTCAGAGCAGAGGGACCTGTGCTCACTTCTCAGGTGGGGCCAGGGTAAACAGGGAAGGGTAGAAGTGGCAACCAGATGTGTCTAGGACAGCCCCCTGAGTCTTCCACATCCCCCCAAGTCTCCAGAGTGGCACAGGAGAATATCTAACAGTTCCCCAATCCCTAAGAAGGGTGAAAATGTGGCTCAGGAAGAATCGTCACAGTCAGGATAGGCAGCCTCAAGTGCAGGACTGATGACCCGAGACGATGGGACGTGGACAGAGCAATGAATGCCAGCCTGGAGGGGCACTGGTGGCCAAGGACCCGACACTTCATCCCAAGTTCCTTAGAACTTAGATGTCACTCTGGGGAGATAGGTGGGAAAGAGGAAATTCTGAATTCATCGAGTTTACCAGAAATGGTGAAAAAACCCATAAGTAAGCTCATCTGCAATCTACTGAACTATATTTCTGCTATCAGGCAGAATGGAAGCTTGAAATGGGAAATTAAGTTCAGTTTTGTGAAATGAAAACATAGGTCCGGCTACCCTAGACTCTGCGCAAAGGGGAGCAGTAACTACAAGAGGGTGAATGCGTCCCTCCAGGGGCAGCCAGGGCTTTAAAGCCACCTGGCCGGAGGCTCCGTCAGGACCACACCCAGCCCAGCAGAGGGATGTTGACAGAGGAGGAACCTCATGGCCCAGACTTTGTGTACATAATTCATTCTGATCTTGCTTCCCCCCATCCTCACAACTATTTCTTCTCTGCTGACTCCATATTGACTCCTAGAATTGTCCCTTCCTCTTTGTGGGTGCTCCTGGGAGAAGAGGAAATTAGTGGGGAATGTTAGGGTTGTAGAACTGCTGGAATTCAGTGCCCTGTGGTCAGAGACAGTCCACAACAGAAAACAAAAAGCTTCTCTGTCTAGCTCTTCCTTTGATTTGATTGGCTTCTCCAACTCACACTCCCGCGTCAAGATTCCCAGTTTTGTGGCTGGTGTTTGCTCCCTGGCACAGACCTTGTCAAGACCTTTTCCCAGGGCCGGGCTCCTGGGGCACCAAATTCAAGGAGGTGCTCCGTTTCAGCCTGCCTCACCCTAGCCTAGGCCCTCAGCTTTCTCCCACCTGCAAAGAAACTTCTTCCTGCCCTGGGCCCGTCCTATGGTCTGTTTTTGTGGGCAGCCTCATTGTTTACACCTTGGTGTTCCAGGTCTCTCGTCAACACCCACATCCTCACAGAACAAGGAAGGAATCGCTGCACAGCAGCAGCTCAGCCCTGGGTGTGCCATCTACTGGGCAGGAGAAGTAGAAACTGCTGGGAAAGCTTATTTCTTTTCCTTTAAATTGTAGAATTACAGTATTTTGGCCTAGAAGAGACTTTAATGATCATATAATTTTGTGTGCCTGCTAATATTCAGGATTTTGATGCTTTATGTTTGTTTGTTAGTTTGTTTGACTTTGGAGATTCTCAGAAGGGCTATTAACAAAGGTATTTCTGTCGTGGGTGGTTTAGAGAGGAAAAGTCGTTCCCAGGACTGCCATCTGTTGGGCAGACAATCAACTCCACAAAACCAAGTCAGCTCAAAGCCAGAGCTACCCCCAGTCAGTGACACTATCCTCAGAGCACTGGTAATAAAAGAGGCACAGCTAGATCAAGATGCAGTGGAACCATTTGTTTCTGTGATTGGGTTCAAGCAAATATCTCCCTGCTCCTAAGGACTGAATGGGACCAAAAGTAATATTAAAATAAGTAATTCAAAGTTAAAATTATGAAATCTCCAGAGGACCAGTCTGAAAGACACAAAAATAAGTAAAGTCAAGTAGAGTATGTGATTCTGTATCCACGTGACACTAGAGACCGACACACTAGTGCTCAGTGAGTCTGAAGAGCAGTCTTCCTCCAAACGCAGCAACTGGGCTCTGTATGAGCCAAGTCGACTTCGCAATCCTAGGAAATCCATTCACACAGGACAGTCACGAGCGAGCAATTATT